TCTGGCGAACCCGGTTGGAGGTGCATTGACTGCTTGAGGTTCAGGCAAGAGTTTGGATGTGGAGGACTACTGACCTTTCACGGTCAGAACGGCAGAGCAGGTCTGACTCCCCGCCTGATTCTGAGCGTGACATGAGAATTTGCCGCCATGCTTGCTGTGAAGCTCGGTGATCTGCAGCACGGCAGTCTGGTGCTCATACCGAATCTGAACATTTTCGGCCTCTTTCAGCTCATAGTTGTCTTTGAGCCAGGTGACGGCTATGGGCTCCGAGCCCTTCAGGGTGCACTGCAAAGACACTTGGCTGCCAACTAAGCCACTGACATTCTCCAGCTTTTTCAAAAACGAAGGAGGTTCTACAACAGAATTAATCATCATGCCTTGTGTTAGATCATTAAAAAAAAACAAAAAAAAACAAGTTCTCAAGTAAAATGACAATGGAGTGTCAAAGCAGAATAAGCAAAGATATTCAAAAGAGTGTCTGACAGGTAGCTTGCACGACAGGGGCAGTAAAAGTTTTGATCCTGTGCACAAAGTCGACGCGAGATCATCTGAACTGACCTTTAAGAGTGACTTGACATTCACAAGCGGCCTTCCCCACTTCGTTCTCCACCGCACACTGGTACGAGCCCACGTCTCCAACCTCCAAAGCCAGCACCTGAAGGGCCACTAGGTCCTGCTCCACAGTGATCCTGTGTCTCTTGTCGTTCCTCACCAGCTTGGTGTTTTTGTAAAAGGACACAGTGAATGGAGCCGAACCAGAGACTTGGGCCTCCAGAATCATTTCAGAACCCTTCACCACATCCTTGGGCTCCAAGAAGCGAGCGAACACCGGGGGCTCTACAGAAGAACACAACGGAGCAGCCAACATGTTCAATCGAACTGCGCAAAACACACTACCAGAACTGGTGTTGGCTTACTCCTGCGTCATCAGAGCACCTCAATTGCCTGTAAATTTCCCCAGTGTGGGACAAATAAAGGATATCTTATCTTATCTTAACACCCTAAAAGTCTGTCCGGAACGGCGGGTAAAGTGCTACCGCAAAGAGGACGAACCTTTGACCGTGACCGTGCTACCGCAAGAGTCGCTGCCAGCGTCGCTGGTAGCGATGCACACGTAGTCTCCGCTGTCCTCAACAGCGCAATTGACTATCTCCAGAGAGGCCACCAAATCCACGGAGGTCACTGTGTATTTAGGACCATGGCTGATCTCCATGCCATCCTTCAGCCACCTAAAACCTATGACAGGACTGCCCGTCACTTTGCACTGCAACTTGACTGGGCTGCCGCTGACCACCAGCCTGGTGGCCTCGGGCTTCATCACAAAGGCAGGAGGTTCTGAGAGAAGAGGTGAATGGGGATTAGGACTCAGGCTAGCGTGAAACAGGGATGTTCGCGCGTACGACGGCGGGCACCTTTTACAAAGAGGACTGCGGTGCAGTCCACCTTGCCGGCGTCATTGGACACCTGGCACGTATATTTAGCGGAGTCGCCGGGCTTAACGGAGGAAAGCTCCAGAGTGCTCACGGAGGCTTCTTTCTTGATGAAACAAGAGCCTCCACTGCTCATTTCCCTGTCTTCCCTGAACCACTTCACAGACAGAGGAGGGGTTCCAGTGAAAGCAGTCTGAAGGCAAACTGTCGTTCCAGGTACAACATCCTGGTCGTCGGGTGTCGCTGTGAACACCGGCGGCTCTGGAGGCCACAAGCGAGACGGAAAAATGCACTTTACATTCGCATCGAACCAATAACAAGACAGCGCAAGACACAATCACACCTTTGACGTAAAGTATGCCGCTGGTTTCTTTCATGCCGGCCGAGTTGGTGGCTCTGCATTTATAAACGCCAGAGTCGGATTTCTCCAGCTGGCCGATGCCTAGTGTGGCAGAGCTCTCCTTGAATTCCAGCCGGAATCTGGCTCCGGACTCAATTTCCCGTTCATCTTTGAACCAAGCGACGGCGATGGGCTGGGACCCGGACACTTTACACTCCAGTGAGACGTCGCTGCCGATGTTACCATCGACCCGTTTTAGGACCTTGGTGAAGTGCGGTGGCATTATGCGGTCTGCATGTCGAGGAGAAGGTATTGCGGGTGTTAGTGGTCATAAGAAGAAGGAAAAACTGACCGCTCTCCATCAAAGTCCCTCACACACAATCACACTGAAGAGGTTACGGCAAAGCAAACCTAGAACTGTCACAGAGCACGTGCACTGGTCTTTCCCAACTTTGTTGGTGAGCTCCATCTTGTACACGGACGTGTCCCCCTTTTCTGCGTTGAGAATCTTCAAGGAGACAACATTGTCCTTCTGGCTCATCTTATATTTACGCCCACTGATCATCTCCTTGCCATCTCTGAACCATTTGACTTTAAGGTCTGGGCTTCCGGAAACGGTGCACTCCAGCGTGGCCGAATCACCTGCCGTCACGCTGATGGACTCTGCTGGTTCTACAATTCTGGCGGGTTCTGAGATAAGATTGGCACATGATGAGAGACGTTCAGCACTTCCAACTGAGAAGACAAGAAGAACAAAGGAGACTGTGCGGGGGATGTCATCTGACCGTGGACTGTCAGAGCAGCTTCACATTTCTGTTGCCCGGCTTCGTTCTCGGCATGGCACAGGTATTTGCCGGCGTGGCTGCTGGACACGACTGCTATGGACAAGCTCGCTACGTTGTTCTCAAACGACATGGTGACGTTTGGATCGTCGTTTCTCAGTATTTCAGAGTCTTTCATCCACTTGACCGCGATGGGGGCCGACCCCTTGACGGTTCCCTGAAGCTTCAATGCATTTCCCAGCACCGCGGTCACACTTTCGACCCTCTTTGCGAAGGTCGGTGGCTCTACAGAAAGATCAAAGCCACCGGGAGCTAAGCGAGAGGCCAGAGAGTGAAGGTCAACAGACGTTATTGTTTTACCAACCTTTAAGCTTGGCTAAGCCCTTGGTGGTGACTTTGCCCACAGCGTTGGAAACGACACACTGATATTCTCCCATATCTGTACTTTCAAAGGACTGGATCTCCAGCCTCAACACGGGCTCTTGGGAGATGACCTTGTATTTGTGGTCACCGCGGATGGTCCTCTTATTTTTGGACCAAGTGATTTCAAAGGGCGCACTTCCTGCGACTTCGCACTCCAGCACAGCGCTGGCGCCCTTCACCGCCTCCACCATCTGCAGCTCTTTCTTAATGGATGGCGGCTCTGTTATCAGAACAAGTCGAGAGCATAAGTACAATGTTCCCCCTCTGCATTGCAGGTCATCCTGCACACCGCTGCTATATCATGGATCCTTTTTATTTGATTCATTTATTTTTGGGGGGTGTTGGTTTGTTTTACAGTGTACGGGCAAGTGCCAATTTTGAGTTGCACGGCTTCGCTGCGGTGCCACTTTGCGCCATAACATGCCAGGCAGCAACGAGCTCGACCGGAGGAGATGCGGCATGAACAGCAAGAAGTCCCAACTCATGACCCCCAACACGATACACACATACAGGGGCGTGTATTAACATACATAATACACGCCCCTGACTATTGCTCTGAGATCTCTTTGTATGTGTTGCTGTTCTGTTAACAGGTTAACATTGATGCTAATTTGTCATTTTAGGATGAAGGGGTTACCAGACCGAATCATTTTGTTTGCTTTGAAAATTTAGATGTGCAAAATGCGCACTGCTTAAGTATGTTGTCGTGTTTTATGCGCCAGTGTTATAGCGAAAAATAAGCAGCATGGATGGCCTCTAATGGTGACAGGTCTGGAACATCTCCCCGGTGATCAATGGGGGCTCACTGAAGAGGTCCACGCAGATGCAACCGCAAAAGAAATGGCGACGAAGGCGATGTCTCGGACAAACCTTTGACGGCCACGGCCGCATTGCAGCTCTCGCTGCCGGCATTGTTTGACACCTCACAGGTGTAGCGGCCGCTGTCAGTGACGAGGACGTTGGTGATCTCCAAAGTGGCTGTGCCATTTGTGAAAGACATTTTGTGTTTGTCTCCAGGGCTCAGCTCTCGCTCATTCCAGAACCAGTGGATGTGGAGCTCTGGGGAACCTTTCATGGTGCAATGCAAGCGAGCAGCTATCCCTTGCTTCCACGTGACACTCGGATCCATTTTCTTGACAAAGCGAGGAGGCTCTGCGGGGAGTGGTTGTTTTCAAAACATTTGTTCGGGGAGAAGAAGCAATGCAAAGTGGGAGCGTTGGCTAACAAGTCGGTCAAGTCTTACCTTGAACTGTCACCAGAGCCTCGCAGGAGGAGCTCCCGGCCTCGTTGGAGGCGGTGCACACATACGTGCCAGAGTCCTTCACTTTGGACTTGGCAATTTCGAGAACCGCCACCTTGTCATCAAAGGACTGCTTACACTCTAGGCTCTGGTGGACCTTTTTACCATCCCGGGTCCAGATGACCGTCACACCAGTGTCCTCATTCACCTGGCACTCCAGCCTCAGCATCTCGTGAATGGCGGCGGACACTGGCTCAAAGGTCTTCACGAATTTGGGCTTGTTGATGACTTGGAGTTCTGTGCTAAAAGTAGCGGCGCCAACGCTGTTGGACGCCTTGCATAGGTACACTCCCTGATGGCCGGGCTCAAGATTGGAGATTTGCAGGGAGTACTTGTTCTTGTCGCACCTCATAGCATAGTGGTCTGAGGGTGAGATGGCGATGTTGTCTTTGTGCCAGACCACCTCTATGGGTGCCGAGCCAGTGAGCGAGCACTGGAACACGGCCGTTTTTCCCACATAAGATGTCACGGGCTCTGGTTCTGATACAAAAATCGGCGGGTACATTTCTACGGAAAGCAGGTAGAAAATATCTTAGAAAGCGCAAGCACGAAAACCAGACCTGGCAGCTCACCACTGTAAGAGGCCATTTCTGTCTTGACTACATTTATAGGTCCAAGGTTGCCCCCCACCCCCCCAAAAAAAAGAAAAAAAATCACACCCAGATTTTTTTTTCTTTTCTTTCACAGTTTCACAGCATAAGGAAGCTTGCAACAGGAAGACTTACCAGTGACTGCCAGAGAGGCGCTGCAACTGGCGACGCCGTGCTGGTTGGTGGCCTTGCAGCTGAATTCTCCACTGTCGGCTTTGACAGGGTTCAAGACTTCCAGGCAAGATCCATCGTCCCGGGTGATGATGCGGTACTTCTTGCTTTGCTTGATCTCCACACCGGACTTGTACCACTTGAAGGTCACGCTGGGGGCCTCCTCGATCTCGCACTCAAATATGGCACGGCTGCCGACGTTTATCTCCAGAGGGGCGATTCTCTGCTTAAAGATGGGTGGCACTGAGGCGCACATGGACAAAGAAGAAGATGAATGTCAGTAAACTCATGGCTGGATAGATTTCATGGAGAACACAGACAGACAGAAGGGAGACAGATGGTGGATGTTATTTCATTCTCTGAAAAGAAAACGGGTAGCATGAACACATGCCCTGGAATTGTGAAACCGGATTTCAGGTGGTTTTCCTTGGGCTTGGGTTCAGGCTACCGATGGAAAAAAAAAAGGAGGTTGAAGTCTTGAAAGCATGCAGACACGTGGAGAATGGACCAAGACAGACCATGAAGGTGGCCTGAAAGCCAGCACCAGGCACCCAGTGAGTGCTGCTTCTGATCTTCAGACAGTTAAGTGCAAAAATACGAGATGAGGTGAGTTGAGTGAAATGGGAACATTTGAAAGACAAATGAAACACATGTGCGTGAATTATAAGGGACTCTCACGGAATGAAACGACAAAGGAAATGGATGAAATGGCAAGGGATGAAAAAATGGAACATGGATTTTTCTTGAAGTCAAACCTCTTGAGACCACTGTGAGTCTGGAAGATGTTGTTGCTCGGCCAGCTTCATTCTCAGCCTCACAAACATATTCTCCTTCGTGTTTCTCCTTGACAACTTTTCTGATAACTAGCGAGTGCGTGTCGAGCTCCGTGAAACACTTGAACTCATTGCCAGATTGCAGCAGTTGCCCATTGAGGAACCACTTGACCTGGGTGACATATTTGATGCTAGCCCTCAGCGTTACGGCCGTGTCCTCCTCAACCGTTACATCTTCTAGATTGGCAACTATCAGGGGACGCTCTTTCGGTCCTGGGCTAGGGACTGAAATCTCCTGTTTGAAAACCTGCTCCGTCCTATCCTCCACGATGCTAACGCCCTCAACCTTTACATCTTCCAGACTGGCAACTATCAGGGGACGCTCCCTCGGTTCTGGGCTAGGGACTGAAATCTCCTCTTTGAAAACCCGCTCCGTCCTATCCTCCACGATGCTAACGCCCTCAACCTTTACATCTTCCAGACTGGCAACTATCAGGGGACGCTCCCTCGGTTCTGGGCTAGGGACTGAAATCTCCTCTTTGAAAACCTGCTCCATCCTATCCTCCACGACGCTAACGCCCTGAGCCTGTTCGGAGGGAGCTGAGGTGGGAGGCAGGGTAGCGGTAAGCACCGCGGTCCCTTCGGCTTTGCGTTGGCTCTTTACTGCTGACTTCACCTCCTGTCTGGACACCACCGCCGACTGCTCAAAAGCCACATGGGCCTCGGTAGAAACTTGGACCTGCGATGAAAAGGACTGGGCCCCCCTCGCTTCCATGGATTCCTGGACTACAACCTGCTGTTGAGCTGAGGCGCACTCCAGCGCCATTTTGGACTCGTTCCTGAGGGTTGCTGCTTGAGATTCAACGGCAGTAAAGTCCACCGAGCTCTCTGCCACACTCACCGTCTGCACAATGGAGGAACTGACTTGTTTCGAGCGGGCCGAAGAGACCTGCGCCCTCTGAGGCTTGTCTAGCTGCATGGTGCCGGGCTGATCTAAAGTCAGAACGTGAGCCTCCTGGTGTACCATGGAATGGAAAGCTGCCTGAAGCTCACTTCTGAGGTCAGCTGTGCGAGGATATTCACCCTGGAAAGCCAATGTGATTTCCAAAGGTGTGCCTGTTGATGTGATCAGGTACGTAAACAGTGTGTACCTGGGTTCTCTCTGAACTTTGACTTCCTGTACTTCGGCCGCCTGGAGCCCTCCGACGACATCAGCCAGCAACACGGGTTGCTCACATGCTACCGCAGACTGAAGAGCATTCCTGAGCTGACGACGTATGCTGACACTGGATGCTTTTGGCATCTGAAGCACAAACATGATCTCTTTGGGAAGAGTTGTGCTGTCTTTGGACTCTGACGCAAGCAGAGACAGCTGGGCCTGCTTCGCAGCTGTGACTCTAGCGGACTCGGGTTTGATAATCTCTCGAGAGAGGAGCTCGCCCGTTAGGACTTGCTTCTCATCCATCATTATCGACTGCCTAACCGACTGGCCTTCCTGGATCTGGACTGCAAAGTCCTGCTCTGCCGCTTGGAGGATTTCACTGCTCTCAGTGCATATCTCCTTCTCCTCAACCTGGACAGGCTCTGCGGGGACCTTTGGCTCTACGGCGGTCTCGCAGGTGACTTGGTCCACAGCCACCAGGCTCTCCGTATGTCCCGCCTCAATCGCCTGACTCTCCGCTACACTGGTGAGGTGCATCACATTCCAACGATCCTCCTTCTGCACCAGCGCTCGCTGCTGCTTAGCATCAGAAGTGACTGGCATCTCCTTGGGCAGTTGAATGGGCTGAAAAGACAGCTGGAGGATGTTCTGAGGCCTGGGCTCAGTTCGAAGTTGAGACTGAACTCCAGTCACAGACAAATCTAGCTCTGAGTGCTGATCTGCAGTCAGCTGAAGTTTCTCCTCAGAGATAGCTGTGTGACTACGAACCTTTTCGGCTTTCTGTGTAGCTGTCTGGTGTTCGGGCTTCTCAGTCACAAGAATATCTTCTTTGGGAAGCACATCAACAGTCTGGCTTGACTGGAGATGAAGCAGGGAGGGGGACTCCTTACTCGGCTGAACAGCAACAGTACTCGTCCTGGTCTCAAACGCAGACGTGCCCTCACAAACCACTGTCATCTGCTCATCCTGGCTGACTGAGTGCAACACAGCAGGACTTTTCCTGGTCCCCGCCTGCTCTGCGTTGGGTTTCTCGCAAGTGAAACTGGTTTCAGAGGGGAGCAGGTTTTGATCGGTGATGACCTGCAAGTGTAACAGCTGCTCCCCTTCTAACTGGGACTGAATGGATCTGGCGCTGTCCAGAGACGGCAATTGCTGGGAGGACTCGGCCCGGAGCGGGTACTTTTCCTCCGCAGATACACTGACTTTCATCATGCGGTCCTTACACAGGAGGGCTGTCTCCTCTGCTGGTGTCTGCACGGGGAAGTCCGTCTCTTTGGCCAGAGTGTGTTTGGATTCACTTACTGAGGCCAGAACGAGGCGATGTTGCTCTTGCTTGACAGAAGTCTTAACGGCAGAGTCGGCTGTCGCTAGCTCGGCGGTGTGACCCTCTGGAAGAGCATACTTCTCTGCAGATTGGGCGGAGTACAGGATTTTAACCCCCTCTTTCACCTTGTAACCTTTCTCTTCCTGTGCCCCAGAAAGCTCTTGGGACTGTTCTTTCATAACCGCCATCTGTGATTCCACCTGATGCCCGCTAACTAGATGCCTGGGCTCCGATCTCGGCTTGACCGACGCGGCCTTTCTGTCAGCCAGCGGCTTGGTGCTGGTGGTCGAAAGAGGGGTAAGCTCCTCGGCGACAGCCGACATCACATGCGACCTCTCCTCCCTACTTGCCTGGAGCTCAATCACCTCGGGGCTCTGAATGCGGTCACAGTGCTGCTCTGTGAGGCCCTGACTCTCCTCAATAGATGATGTGAAAGCAGCCATGTGAAGCTGCTTTTGAGGAACAGCTGAAACTTGGGCCGGGCGGGTGGACACCTCGGAAACTCTCTCCTCTACCTCGAGACACTGAAGCACTGCTGCCTGATGGGTCAGCTTCTCGCGGTGAATGGTGGCGGCAGAGATATCCAGCTCCGTGAGGGAGCCCACTTGCTCGCTGGGAATAACCCGCCGGTCTTCAGTCCCGATTGTATACACCATCTGATCCGAGCTGACCCCATCCTGGCCTGGGAGGCTGACCTGGTAAAGGCGAGACTCCGTAGCCTGTTCTGTCTTGGAAACTTTATAACTTTTTTTCTGGACCTCAACCTGCTGTTTGTGAGACACAGAACGAGATTCCCGGAGCACAACCAGCTCCGCTCCACTAGATGCCTCCCCAAACTGGTTAGAAGCTTTACATGTGTACATGCCACTGTCTTCCTGTGTGACATCCTTGACGGTAATAAAGCCAGACCCGTCTGGATTAGTGGTAACGGCACGCTTGGGACTAGACTGGATCTCAACCGTACCTTTGAACCACTGGACTTTGGGGACCGGATCCCCAACAACTTGGTAATGAAAACGAACCTCTGTCCCTGCTGAGCAGCTCACGGGTTGGATCTGCGTTAAGAAGGTGGGAGGTTTGCCCGTGTACTGAAACATTTTCTCGACCCACTTCTCTGCCTGGCTAAGGTCTTCCTTTTTCACCTCCAGGTATGTGGAGCACGTGGTCTGGCCAAACCTGTTGGAGGCGGTGCAGGAATACTCGCCTTGGTGCTCCGATGTGACGCGATTGATAATTAAGGTAAACTCTTCCTTCTCCTCGACAAGCTTATAAACGGAAGAACTCTTGATCGTTTTCCCATCGCGAGACCACTGAACGGTGGGCTTTGGGATGCCAGACACTTTGACACTAAAGGTGGCGCTCTCTCCGGCGATCGCTGCCACTGACGAGAGCTGGGTGAGGAACACCGGCTTTTCCTTTTTCTTCTCTATGGCGGAAGAGTAACGTTTGGGCTCTGGCATGAGTTCAAGTGTTTTTGTTTTGTGAGGCAACTCGACACCGGTGTAGTAGGTCTCCTCTTGCTCCTCCACGGTGGTGACGGTGGTGAGAGAACGTTCTGTCGGAAAACATCGAGCAAGACCGATAAGAAAAATAGTCATCTCAGCCAGACAGAAAGAGGGCAAAATGCATCCTGCCACAAGAGAAATATTGTCACGCCATTCTTTCCATGGGGTAGATTTAAGTTGAGGACTAAGATTTTTGTCAAGGCCCTGTCCCCAAACTGACAAAATAGGACTACTAGTACCTTTTTCCATCAGTGTTTATCTTTCTTTGGCAGTCTTAGTTGTTTTTTTATTTCTCATCTTCTTTGTATAAGAGGAGGGAGACTAGCACGACAAAAATCTCATTACACAGTGCTACCGTTATGTTTTCACTGACAACCATCTTGAATAGCACAAAACATTCTTGAAATATTTGTGGCATTCTCCATACAAGTCAGAGTATCCGGATTTTGGAGAAGAAAAAAAAAAAAAAAAGTCAAATT